TAGATGTTATACACAGTAGATGTTATACACAGTAGATGTTATACACATTGAGGGGGGAAGAGGCAGGGCTTGGCCCTAGAACTCAATTGTGAAAACCAATGTTTATTTTACAGCTCAGGCTTTCTAGGAAAGGTCCCATTCTGCTATAAATCATAACAGCTTAATAGTAAGGTCTGAGTCTTCTAAAGAAGTTATTTCTACTAAATGTACAGATCTTCAGTTTTTCAGTATTACTAATTTTACACAAGTATTACTTCAATTTGAATTCATTTTTCTGTCACTCTTGTCTTGATTACCATAAAGAAAAGTACTCTCTATAAGTAAGTGACAAGAAATTGCTATCTCATATAATAAATTCACCTCGGAATCCCATTTTGAGATTTCCCCCTCCTTTTAAAAAAATGGAAGATGGATAGGTTTTTAAAGATTAAATTAGCATCATTTACTTTCTTAGCATCGAGCAGCAGGTATTGTGTCACCCAGAAGCCTTCTATATAAATACAAGTGTTTCATGTAGCAGTGCATACCTGCTGTCCTAGCACTCAAAAGGCTAAAAGACGATAGTGAGTTCTAGTCCAGCGTAGGCCACATAAACAAAGTAATAAAAACAAACAAAATACAGTTTTGTATGTGGTATTTTTGCAGGAATCAAGAACTGAGAGGATGTTCCAACTGGGAGTATAAATCAAGGAATACATTGATGAAAAGGCACATATATCATGGGGAATGTTAGTTATGGCGTGCAGGCTAGTCTTGAAGTTGTAATCATCTTGCTTCAGCCTCATGCATGCTGGCTCACAGCTCTGCACCAGCATGCTGAATCAGCAATGCTGTAATCATGGATGGTTTTATGCTAAGCCCTGGTGGTGTCCTCATCATGCTTAGAAGATGATGATACAATTTCATTTGCATTTGGGGGAGTTATTTTTTGAGACAGAGTTTCTTTGTGTAGCCCTGGCTGTCCTGGAACTCACTCTGTAGATGAAGATGTCCTCTAACTCTGTCTAAAATCTGCCTGCCTCTGTCTATTCATTTGCATTCTTAATTATAAAATCTCTCTGGTTTGATCTTCCCAAGCCCTGTATCTTTCTTGTGGCTATAAATCTATTCTGAACAGAAGGGGAGGTGGCTCAAAACATAACAGCAATGCGAAGCTGGAGAAACCTGGAACTCTTGTGGGAAAATAGAGGGAGGGCAAGTGAAGATCAACTTGACATTAGTGATAGAAGTATGGACATGGCAAACATGCCTGTACTGTTACGTGCACGTGTAGTCAGGAAGGACCATTTTAGGCTCTAGTCTTATGCACGTAAATCTCTTCCCTGTAACACCAAGCCTGCCTTGACTGCTCTGGAGGAGCCATTCAGAGGTGGAAAAGAGATGTACAATTTACCTTTTGGAAACTCTATTTGGGGGAACAAAAGAATCCACATAACTACAGTGGAACTGAGTGGCTCAAGAAAGACAGGGCTTTTGCTAAATGCAGCCAAACACTAACCTGTTAGATTCGCTTTGGACATGTCTGCTAACAAGACTAGCTTGTCTTAGACTAGCTCGCCATTAGTAAGTAGCACATTGTTCTCTCTTTCCTTGCTTCCAGTTAGCTGGTATACAGAATTCTTCCATATTGGATTAGAGAGCTCTGATTTGTAGGTGTGTTTGATTTGAATTCTTCTCTTCTTAAATGTTTAACACAATCAAGCAGTTTAACCAATTTTTTACATTAAGAAATGTATCCCATAAAGGAAATGAGGGAAATGGTTGCTTAGGAAACCAAAGGACCCCGTGAGATATTTGAATTTCTAAAAGGATTCAGAGAGAGAAAACACTAGAGACACATTATAATAATAAACACTGGACATGAAGGAGCCATGATGCCTCAATCTCCATTCATAGCTTCAAATTTTTATTTGAATTTGGATTTGTTTGGGGGAAAGCAAAAGACAGAAATTTTTTCTTCACTTTTTCTATGAACACTGATTGGTCTATGCTCGCTCCCACTACATCTATGTCTTTTAGCTGATGTGTGCCTCACTTTAGAATAACTGAAGAACAAAGCTTATCCACTCAGTAGGTGCCACTGGCCCTGTATAAAATAGTTTATGGTACACATAAACAATCATTAACCTTGAGTATGTCTTAACATGGTTGTGTTATAATTTTATACCTGTAGCTCCCTGGCAGAATTTTACAAAGTTGATTTAAAATTCTTGAATAAAAAGTCAGGAAGTCAAGATTCAAATCAAGAGCAGAGTGAAGTGAATCGTGAGAAGCAGTACTGGCCATGTGGGAAAGTGAACTACTTATGAGCCGAGGGTGAAAGTCAGGACCAAATTCAGCTCCTAAAGACTACCAATAGCCATCTTGCAGGTCATCAGTTTTGGCCAAATGTGGAATTATCACGACACCAGGTGTGAAGCACCCCTCTGTGGAGCACCCCTCTGCTTTCTTCAGTCTGTCTTTCTCTATGACTAGTCTTATAACTTGTCAAAATAAAGAGGTCTAGTGAGCCAAGAGTGAACAAGATTGAATAAAACAACCTGGTGTATTTGAATGACAATGATGACACCTTTTAAAGTTTTCACAAATACCACTTTACAATTCTCATTATTTTCTGCTTAATAGACAGGACCAATTCTCTAAGTTTGGGGATATAATTGAAATTGATTTTCTTTCCAATGGCACGTAGTTGACGTTCCCTTACGGCAGTCTCAGCTTTCTTTCCTCGGCTGTCCTCAACACCATGTTGAAAAAAAACTCACTCCACCCCATTCTTTAAAGATAAAAAAGCTTATTTGCTTTTATGTGCATGGGTATGTGCTCATATATGTGCAACATATGCATGCAGATGTCCGTGGGGCCCAGAAGAGCATATGAGATCACCTAGAACTGGGGTTACAAGTAATTTTGAGACATGCCATGTGGGTGCTAGGAACTAAATCTAAGTCTTAAGTAAAAGTGGTAAGTGTTCCTAACCACTAAAGCTGTCCCCAGCCCTTCGATCTCATACTTTACAAACCCAGCCTGTTCCTATTCACAAAAGCCCTGACCTGAAGGTCAGCAGCTCTATTTCTGAAGCTAAGATGTGCTCCTGAGAGAAAATGGAGCTTGTGTGTTCATGGTTGTGGTCCTATTGACAGTCAATATGAGCTAATCTGAATTTAGAATTTGGAAAGTTGCTTGAGATCTGAATAGGTCTTTGGGGATTTTTCTTGTTTGTTTCATTTTCCTTTTTGCTGTTAACTTTTCCTGGGAATAAATAAGCAAATGTCTATTCATCCCAGAGAGGACACCAGAAGCAGACAAGTTCATTGACATTACCTATAGGACCATGGAGTGAGGGGTTCCTTACTAGAGTGTGGGTGACCTTGAAACAGTCCCATTACCTGAAGGTCTCACCAGAGAATCGATGGTGGCTTTCCCACGGCTGCTCAGATGGAAACCGTGTCTGTTAACCTTCCACATTCCAGGACATACCTTCTGATACTGCACACAGCCTCAGCAGGATACCGCAGAGGTAGCGGGGAGGAAGTTTCAGGAGAATGAGGGTCTAATGACATCCCAACCACCTCCCTCTCTAAGGGATCACCCACGTATGGGTCCTGCTGAGGGTCTCCTGCAAGTCAAATCACAGTTTCTCTGAGTAAGACGGCAGAGGACAGGGTTCCATAAAAACTTCAAAGCGTTGTTGGTTATAGTTTTAAGCAAAATATGAAATAAAACTTTTTTATTAGCTTTTTAAATTTATCCAAAGTATCCTTCAGGAACAACCTTAAGAAAAATTTTGCCCGCTTTGCAAATGCATTCGGCAGAAAAGGAGAGTCAATGATGTCATGGTCCCGACATCCTTTGGGAGTGGAGGCTTCACGACTAGCAGGTGCCTCTCTACCGTGGTGTTCTCACAGCCAGATGTGCATGGCAGCATCTTTCTTAGACAAGCGCTTTCCTGATTCTCCTGTGAACTCTTCACATGGACTCTTGGCCACGTCAAGGGTGGGAAGCCCCATCCTGACGCTTCTCTGTGTACCTTTCTCTGTGACTCTCCACAGCCTCTGCCTCGTGGGATAGATTTCCTTCCAACTCCCCTCAGCATCAGAGATGAGAAGAAAACCCAAACTGACAAACAGGGAAAGACTTTTTCATTAAAAAGTTTTGGCTGCCTGCACAATTTTGGAATGTGTGTTCCAGGTTCAGGAGACTGAGCCTGATAACAGAATGTGAGGCTTCACTTGCTATTCCCTCTAGATTTTTTTTTTTCTTTTCTTTGCCCCTGTCTTTTCTCCTTCCCCTCTGCTTTGTTCTTTGTGTTTTCAGGGTGTGTTTTTCCTCAAGAATAGCCAAGTGTCTCTATGATGAAATCCTCCTGTCCTGCTGTAAATGCACTTATCACATCTGACATAATGTGGCGGGGCTTTTTTTAAGCTTAGATTTCCCTCTCCTTTGCAGCTCCCTTCACTAATGGCAGAGAGTGACAACTGGTGATTACAGAAATCTTGAAAATGCCACTGGGAACTCAGCTCCAAGAAGTGCCCCAGGAAGACTGAGAGACACATTCAAATCACATCCCCAGAGGCCCCTCCCATTTCCTTTATCCCACTTTACTGGCAAAGCCAAAGTCACCTCCTTCTACTTCCTCACACAAAGGTTCTAACTGAAATCCTCAGCAAGCCCACAGGGTCAGTGACCCTTCCCAGTGCTCTTACACAGTAGTTTGAAAGCATAGCTATGTTATTACTGAACATCTCCAAAAAGAAAAAAGGAAAGAAAGAAAGAAACACACAGACACACACTCACACAGAGAGAGAGAGAGAGAGAGAGAGAGAGAGAGAGAGAGAGAGAGAAAGAAAGAAAGAAAGAAAGAAAGAAAGAAAACCCTTTTTGTGTAAGTAAAGACGTAAATTTGTAGGTGCTATACATTATGCTTAAGAGAAAAGTGTTTTCATGGCCTTTCTCCATCCTTTTGTTTGTTTTTCATGCTTCCCATTGTCCTTTGTCCCATCTTTCCTTCATTTCAGGACTTGATGTGGCTTACTGCTGCCGAGTTCAGAGTGCACTTATGGACTGCTGGGTCATGTCAGAACCTTACAGTATGCACTTCCGACCAACTCAGCAGCACCCAGACTGAAAGGCTTCTGTAGACTCCCCGCCCAGGCTTTGGCTAGATGAAGTAGCTAAAGGCCTTCATTAGACTTGGTGACAGAGCAGTGGCCGGTCTGTGTCTTGACACGCCCGCGTGTCCACTCACTAAATGCTCATTATAAGTTGCCTGTGTGGCTAGCTGTTCCCAGGGGGACACCACACAAACCAGTCAGCCAAATCGATCTCACTCATCTCTTAGCCAATTACAGTTTTTACCGAGACTCTTGTATCTTTTAGAAATAAAATTTCTTCCGTTTCATAAGTCCTTTTTTTTTTCTTGTGAAAACAGATGCTACAAAAATAAATGTTGCTCTTTTTATGGTGGTGGAAGGGCCTCCACGGCACATTTTATTTTCTCTCCCCAGTGCTTTTTCACCTACGCGAGAGAGGGTGGGCAATTTTGGGTTTCCCCCACCTGGTTATGGTTAGTTCTTTATTTCAAAATCTCTTTCAAAACAGATCAGACATTACACTGTTAAAAACAATTTTCACTGTAGGTATTGAATATCATACTGTGCTTGTAGTAATAACTGATAGATATCTAGAGTAATCTTCAGTGTGGACTGACTTTAAAGAACTGTCAATCACAGACTTTAACTTTAAACACACATGATTTGAATTCATGTTAGCAGCATGAGGAAGCCGAGGAGATGGCAGAGCGCTGCTTGGAGAAAAGATGATAGGATTACCTCCGCAGTTTGCCTTACTTGCTGGTTGTTTGAGTCACTAAATCAAGGCAAAGTTTATGAAAAACCTGCGGCTGGGGTCTCTGGCTCTTAGTTCCCACTGAGATTTTCCCCGTTATAAATCTGCTGTCAGGAATAAGTGCTTTACTTGTGACTTAATTCTATGCAGGCACAAACACCTTGGTTCAACACTTTGGCCACACGGCCTTAACTGTCTTGAGAGCGACAGAGATCTTATTAAGGCAGGGTGTTAGGGAGGAAAGGGGTTCCCAGGCCCCTACCAGCATTCTTTCATGGTGCTGGCAACAGTCCTGTGGGCTCTGAAAGAAAGCAGGAATCGAAGACGGCCATGGGGCCAGGGCACAGACTGGGTGGGTTCTCTGGTTCCAAAGGAGGGAATTGTGTACTCAAAAGCATTGTCCTTTTGGAGAAAGAGAGAGAGAGAGAGAGAGAGAGAGAGAGAGAGAGAGAGAGAGAGAAGCAGCACAGGTTCCTGTGGAGGCTACAGGTATTGGATCCTCTGTTACAGGCAGTTGTGAGTGTTGGGAGCCAAACTTCGGTCATGCACAAGAGCAGTACAGCTATTAAAACTGAGCCATCTCTCCAGCCTCCTATTTAGACTAATATTTCAAACCACTTATTGGCTGTGCACTAGCCTGGTTTCCAACACTCAGGAGCTGTGCGCGGAACATCAGACAGCACAGAAAGCATTTCTCAGAGAGGCCTGTGGGGCTGTGCGAGACTGGGTGTGGGAAACATCCCTTGGTCTTTGACTACTCAACACTTTTATTTTGATCAGGCGGTAAAAGTGTTGAGAAATAAGGATAGACCAATGTAACAACATTTTCATCCTTAAGACATTGACTTTATATGAATTGAGTGGAGGCTGGTGGTAGGATGGTTCAGTGGGTAAAGGCACTTACTGCTAAGCCTGACAACCTGAGTTCAATCCCAGATATATCCACATGGTAGAAACTGCCTCCAGTAAGTTGTCCTCTGGCCTCCATATGTGTTCCACAGTGTGCCCATCACACACACACACACACACACACACACACACACACACACACACGTGCGCACACACACTAAACAAACAAATAAAATGCAAAAAATAATTTAAATATTGGTGGGTGATTGTTTCCTTTGCAGTCTTTTTAAAATGTCTTTGTCTATTAGTAACTACTGTACAGCATGTATTCCCAAGGCAAGATATAATTCCCAAACTGTTACCAGTCTATAATGAGGGGAATAAAGCAATGGAGAGGGGGAAACTCGGAAATGCTTTAGAGATTCAGCACGGTTGTGCCTTCTGGTCCTTCGTGCTGACTGCTGTAAGCCTATAGACATGAGTTAACTTACTTTAATGCTCCATTGTGTGTACAACTACCAAAGTGTCACACCGTCAGTCATAAAACACACAACTTGTTATTTGTCTCTTTACAAAGTATTTTAATTATCCAGTTTGGAAATATTGGAAATTAAAAAGAAACATCTGTCTCGTCACAGATTTTGAAAGCAAAGTTAGATGAAAAGGTTCACCAATGGAAATATTGACCAGCTCTCCTAAGACATTGAGACAGGATGAGTTTATGTGAAAGGAACAGGGCTCAATTAAGCAAAAGAATTTCTATTAAGTTTCTAATTATGTGCCATGACTGTGAATATAGCCTCTGGGAGTTCTCTGTTCACTCTTAATATAGATGAACATTGCTGATGCTGGATGATTTGCCTTTAAATCCACCTCCATCCTATGTGACATTTTCTACCTTGGAGATCTCAAATCAAAGTGGAAAGAACATGTAATGCCTATTTTTTTCACTTGACCAAGGTTGGAAGATTTGCAATAAAAGCACCTCCCATTTAAAAGGTGTTACTGTGTTTGAACTGAAAAACAGTATGTTTTTCTGACTCACAGCACAAAGGAGGGGCTTCCCTTTGATGTGACTGACAACCTGTAACAGGAGTATCTTCAGCATCAGTCCGGTTCCATTCCATGGAACTGTGTTCCCATGTGTTCCCATGCAGTCTGTCCCGGGGACCAGTCTACACAGCACAGGAGAATCCTTACCTGAGTCCATCCCATCTCATGGTAGCTGGCTGTGTTCCCATGCAGTTTGTCCCGGGAACCAGTCTACACAGCACAGACACATGCAGTTAATAAGTCCAAAAAAATGTAGTACTCAGTATTCATTTCCTGGCTTCCAGCAAAATTATGACTTTTGATATCTACCTCAATGATCACAGTAGGTGCTCAAAATACTTCATTGGGCTATTCATTGTAGCTACTGAAGCTACAAGATACAATAAAAAGGCTGGTTTATTTCGCATATAAGTCAGTCATTCCATTCCCAACCATAACTTTGATGAAACATTTTGCTTCTGCTGATTGCTATGGAGTCCTGGGTATATTGCTGAAAGTTCAGCATACTATGAAACATTAAAATACTATATATAAAATGCTACTACAAGTTTGCCAGTTTTTATTAGAGCATTCTGAAGTATGCCTTGCACATCAGAGGGAGTTGTAAGTTGCGCCCAAGGGTTGAGGATCAGTGGCAACCTTCTATAGCCTAACACGTTAGGAAGTAAATCCTGAAGGCAGTCTACCTGTTCCCCATCACCCTCCATCTCGTCATATCCTCTAACTGGCCCTAAAGCTGGTGATGCCTCAGATAACAACAAAGTTCAAGCTCCTCACACTCTGATTAAACTGTTCCTTATTTGATGTCTCTGGGTTTTAGTTGTTCATTTTCTTGAATGTTGGCTTTGTGACTAAAGACCCGTCTCTCTG